TTAAAACATCCTTTTTTCGACACCAGAACTGGATTCAAGTTGAGTTGAACAGAACGTGATTTCACGCCTCTCTATCTGTGTATCTCATGGATATTGAGTTTCACTTTAACTATCATATTTGCAATGTGCTCATCACACTAATTTCTAGGTCCTGAAGCTCTGTTTGGAATCCATATGTTCACTGACACTTGTCCCTTACATGTGAACATAAGATTATAAGAATCGCCGTATTGGGTCAGACCAATGGTCCATCTGGCCCAGTATCCTGTCTTGTGACAGTGCCTGGTGCCAAATGCTACAGAAGAAATAAACAGAACAGGGCAACTTATCAAATGATCCATTCCCTGTGTTCCATTCCCACCTTCTGGCAATCAGAGGTTTAGGGACACCCAGAGTATGGGGTTCATCCCTGACTATCTTGGCTAATAGCCATTTATGGACCTATCCTCCCTAAATGTATTTAATTCTTTTTTTAACCCAGTTATATTTTTGGCTTTCACAACATACCCTGGCAACGAGTTCTACAGGTTGACTGTGCATTCTGTGGAGAAGTACTTAAATTTATTTTAAACCTACTGCCTATTCATTTCATTGGGTGATCCCTGATTCTTGTGTGATGTGACAGTAAATAACACTTCCCTCTTTACTTTCTACACACCAGTCATGATTTTATAGACCTTTATCATATCCCCCCTTAGTCGTCCCTTTTCTAAACGGAACAGTCCCAGTCTTTTTTATCTCTCCTCATATGGAAGCTGTTCCATACCCCTAATCATTTTTGTTGCCCTTCTCTGCACTTTTTCCAATTCCAATATATCTTTTTTGGACAGGGAGACCAGAACTGCATGCAGTATTCAAGGCGTGGCTGTACCATGGATTTATATAACGGCCTTATGATGCTTTCTGTGTTATTATCTATCCCTCTCCTAATGGTTCCTAAAATTCTGTTAGTTTTTTGACTGCCACTGCACATTGAACAGATGTTTTCAGAGAATTATCCATGAGGACTCCAAGATCTCTTTCTTGAGTGGTAACAGCTAATTTAGACCACATTATTTTGTATTTATAATTGGGATTATGTTTTCTAATGTGCATTACTTTGCATTTATCAAGACTGAATTTCCTCTATCATTTTGTTGTCCGGTCACACACCTTAGTGGGATCTCTTTTGTAACACTTCACACTTCAGCTCTGGACTTAAATATCTTGAGTAATTTTGTATTGTCTGCAAACTTTGCCACCTCACCATTTACCCCTTTTTACACATAATTTATTAAATATGTTAAACAGCACTGGTCCCAGGACAGATTCCTGGGGGACACCACTATTCATCTCCCTCCATTCTGAAAACTGACAATTTATTCTTACTCTTTGTTTCCTATCTTTTAACCAGTTACTGATCCATGACAGGACCTTCCCACTTATCCCATGACCCCTCACTTTGCTTACAAGCCTTTGGTGAAGGATCTTGTCAAAGGTTCTCTGAAAGTCCAAGTACAGTAAATTACCCTTGTGCACATGTTTGTTGACCCCCTCAAGGAATTCTAATAGATTGGTGAGGCATGATTTCCCTTTACAAAACCCGTGTTGACTCTTCCCCAACAAATTATGTTCATCTATATGTTTTATAAGTCTGTTTACTATAATTTCAACCAATTTACCTGGTACTGAAGTTAGGCTTACCAGCCTATAATTGCCAGGATTGCCTCTGTAGCCTTTTAAAAAAAATTAGTGTTATATTATGTATCCACCCGTCATCTGATACAGAGACTGATTTAAGTGATGGGTTACATACCACAGTTAGAGTTCTGAAATTTCATATTTTGGGGTAAAATATAAATTTATCTGTTAAGCATGCTCATAGAAATAATAATGTAAGTTATTGAAGCTGTAACTGCAAGTAGGAGAACATAAATAATTGGGTCATTAGACTTTGTTATAGTTACAGGCCTGTTTTATTGGTGTGAGGCCTAGCGTGAGAGGTTTGGTGGTAGTCATTCTAAGGCTGGGGTTGTTTGTTAAAAAGATATAGGCCTGAGGACACAATTTATATCTTCTCATTCTGTGCAAGCAAGCAAGCAACCGCAAGGATATGTGTACACTACCCTGCAAGCTGCACAAGTTAGAGGTGGTTGGGGGGACTTTTGCAATATGGCAACTAAACAGTATCTAGGCAGTTAGACCACAATGATGTATAGGGATTATTAAAAAAATATTGATACATGTTATTAATATTAATGATTAAAAGATTAATTAAAACTTGAATATCACATATGGATAATGGATAAGTACTAATCTTGTTATGGTCATAGAAGATATTTAAATATGGTCGTGTATCCAAATAGTTCCATAAAGAAGGGATATAAAAGATTCAGTCTAGTTCTCTACTTTTAAGTTTCATCAGAACTGAGAACTGAATCCGGACCAACTCTCTGCTGTGCTCCGCTTACTCGTCCTTCCAGCTTTGTTTCTAATGGTCTCCACAATGTAAGATTGTAAGTATGAACAATGCAGGAAACCAATTTACTGTACTTTTCTAACCCTTATGTATGTTGATTTTTCTAATATTTTTGATTATAGAAAATTTTATCTGAATGAATTCTAAGTAACTGCCTGAAAAATAAGTTATCTGTGACAAGTGCATGTTGCACCAATAAATAATTTTATAATTGCAATAATCAACTGAAAGGCTACAACTCCCACAAGATCCATAGGTTTGAAAAGCTTCTTTTCCTGTCTCCATTAGATGTGCTTGAACTATTCATTTGCTACTCATAAGTATTCACCAAACAGTCTTGTTTAACATTCTTCAGCCTCTGAGTTATATGTAAACTGTTTGCAGCAAGATTCACAGTGTGTGATTAGAAAGCATAAATGAATAACAAATGACAAAAGCAATGGTTTGGGACTGAATACTATTTGCCCTAAAAATTCTGAAACATTTGGATCTCATGCATATTTTAAGGAACACATAGTGGTGTGTGAATCCTCACAAGTAAAAAATATGACACTAGTTCAAATGAATCTGCAACGCTATACAATTCAATTTCCTGTCACCTCCTCTGCCTTACTTAGCCCAAGTTTCTATGCCCTGTTAGCTGGGGGCAGGTGTTTTGGTGGGGAGAATAGGAAATGCATCCAGAACTATTATGTGTGTGTTTGGAATGGGTGTTAGGGAAAGAGTGGCTTGGAGTTTCCTGTTTGGCAGTAGGATAGCAGTAACCAGTGATGTGCTCAGCCACCAGAGTGATAGAGAAGGAGGTGTCCGGATTTCCAGGAGGCTCAATTCATCTCTACAAAGCCCTTAATAAGCACAAAACAGTTCTACACCACACCATGCAGCTATAGAGCATGATCCAGTGAGGCAATGTTGACAATTTGCCTTAATCCTCCAAGGAATGTTTAAATGACTCCCCTTACAGTTAGAGAAACGTCATTTAGATTGGTAGAGTTTCTCATTCAAATGCCCTCCAGCAGGTTTATAGTAGCTGGTATGCTACACAAGTTCTATGGTCCCCTGTTAAAAAGCACACATTGCAGCCTTTGCCTCCAGCATTGTTCAGGTGGTGTTGATTGCCTCTATGGTAAAAAAATTGGTGGAAAATCTGAATTTCATGTTTTTTTACCATCCATCTGTCTAAGTACTTATATGGCCTCTATCACCACAGTATCAAAAACACAAATGAGATCATCCTCAAAACCTCATTGTGAGGTAAGGAAGTGTTGTTATTTCCGTTTTATAATTGGGGATCTTAAGCACAGAATGCAGATCTTCTGTGTCTCCATCCAATAATGCCTTAACCGCAAACCTATCCTGGAAATCCCTAATGACCATGACAATATATTACTTTATTTATATATGATGGAATTTTCCAAAGCACCTAGGGGACTAAAACTCTCAAGTCTCATTGAAAATCAGTGGATCTTGTGGTTCAAAATCATGTAGGGGGTATCGATACTGGAATGTAAGTCCAGGGTTCGAACGTGGGCTCAAGCCTAATCCCTCTTCCAGCTACACACAAATTGTGCTAACCCAGGGCTTGGAACCAGGGTCTCAGGACCATACAGGGTCCAAGCCCGAGTCAAGCCAGGACTCAGGGTTTATATGGGGATACATATAAAATGATGGGGTCTAAAATAGCTGTTACCACTCAAGAAAGAGATCTTGGAAGCATTGTGGATAGTTCTCTGAAAACATCCACTCAATGTGCAGCAGAAGTCAAAAAAGCAAACAGAATGCTGGGAATAATTAAGAAAGGGATAGATAATAGGACAGAAAATATCATATTGCCTCTACATAAATCCATGGTACACCAACATCTTGAATACTGTGTTGAGATGTGGTCGCCCCATCTCAATATATATATATATATATTAGAATTGGAAAAGGTTCAGAAAAGGGCAACAAAAATAATTAGGGGTATGGAATGGCTTCTGTATGAGAAGAGTTTAATAAGACTGGGACTTTTCAGTTTGGAAAAGAGATGGCTAAGGGGAGATATGATTAAGGTCTATAAAATCATGACTGGTGTAGAAAAAGTAGATAAGCAAGTGTTGTTTACTACTTCTCATAACACAAGAACTAGGGGTTTCCAAATGAAATTAATAGGTTGCATGTTTAAAGCAAATAAAAGGAAGTATTTCTTCACACAATGCATAGTCAACCTGTGGAACTCCTTGCCAGAGGATGTTGTGAAGGCCAAGACCATAACAGGGTTCAAAAAAGAACTAGATAAATTCATAGAGGATAGGTCCATCAATGGCTATTAGCCAGGATGGGCAGGAATGGTGTCCCTAGTCTTTGTTTGCCAGAAGCTGGGAATGAGCAACGGGGGATGGATCACTTGATGATTACCTGTTTTGTTCATTCCCTCTGGGGCACCTGGCACTGGCCACTGTTGGAGGATGGGATACTGGGCTAGATGGACCTTTGGTCTGACCATATGTTCCTATGTTCTTATTGCTTTGCAGTGTAGATGCAGCCCCCCCCGTGACTTGAACTCTAAGTCTGCAAAGGTATTTCACAATTCCATGGGCTGACTTTCTTTGTCTTCTGTACAGTCAAGTTTGGTGGACTATCAAGCTTTCCTACTGCACCATGAACAAATGGCTAGAGAGGCCATATTTAAGGAGAATGCTAGGAACTTTGGGATACGGGTGGCAGGACTCAGGCCCACAAAAACACAGTGTAGACGCTGGAGCCCCAGGCTGGGATCCAGGGTTCAACAATTCCTAACCTGGGGTTACAGACAAGTGTAGATGCTTAAGCCCTAGGTTAACAAACCCAGGGTGTGCTAACTTGAGTTCTACTAACCTTGGGCTGACATTGCAGTGTAGACCTACCCATAGTTACTTTTGAAAATCTCACCCATAGTGATTGACATATTCAACCTGCGGAATAAACATTGACAAGCCCTCACAACACTTTCTGACACAGGCAACTGAGTCTGAGTGACTTGCTCAAGACCATGCAGAAACTTACTGTCAGATTGGAACTAGAACTCAAGAGCTCCAGCGTCCTGACCGTGTAATCAAAAGTTTAGAAATTGTCAAAACACCCTACTTCAACATTTTCAAACTAAAGTTTAAGAGTTTTTTTATTTGAAGCAACTTTTTGTTTAGAAATTCTAGTTGATTTATACTAATGAAGTTAAACATTGAAAAAGGTCAAAATTGAAACAAAACATTTCAACATGCTGCCAAACCTAGGAGAGGTACAATTGATTATGGGGGTGGGGGATACAAAAAGACATGGAGGACCAGATGGTTCAGGGGATTGGTAATGAACTGGTTCACATATGGTCAAAGGCAATACTAGTGACCAATCCCTATTCCCATCTGACAGCTGTCAGGTGCTTATATGAAATAAGTTGGTGGTTTCAGTCCAGTTCCTAATAGCCAGATGTTCACTTTACAACAGTCACATTCAGAATTGGAGGCACTCTTTTGGCACTCACAGCAGAGAGGTGACGGATTAAAGAGAATGGATATTGAGTTAGCTTCTCATACCATAAAGGCAGTTCCTCCAGAACAGATTTGAGTGTGGGGAAGTAAACCCTGATGCTTTCCATTACATACCCTTTCTGTGAAGAAAAAAAAAAAAGTTGGCCTTTAGTCTCCAGGGCTGTGCTACCTTTCACAAGCACTAAATTCACTTTAAAATGTTACAGTTAAAAAAAGAAAACTAATCAAGGGACTTCTTTAAACTGTAATTAATAAATGACAGATTTATACATTATTCAATCTTGAATGTGAACAAATACAGTCCTAATTGACTCTATTACTAATATAGGCCTATAAATTGCTCAAATTGCTGAATGTCTTTATAGAAACCTGACACTTTTAAGTAATTATTGTCCATCATGTATAAAACTATGTAACTTATGATGATTTTTCATTCTGTGCACCCACACCTTTAAATTTCTAAGACAAGGCTTCCCAGTCTGGAGCGTTTGGAGCAGACTTATCCGGAGGGCCATAGGACAGGGAAGAACAACATTGGTAGAGCAGAAAACAGCATGACACTGGAAAGTTGCATTACCCTTCCCTCCTCACCCTATGCAAATCTGTTTCTACAGCAGTTGGTAAAGAAGCAAGTGTCTCTTTGGGGGCCACTAATCTTATTTCCCTTGCTTCCACAACAGTCCTTAGTGGCATCTGGCCACTAGACTAGCTCGTATTTATTTATGGGGTGCAGACTGAGGTAGAAGCCCAGAGGCTGAAGGTTTTCTCCTCAGCTGCCATTTCACTCAGCTAAGCTGCAAGAGCATCTGTTCCTGTTGAGCCACCATGTAGCCTTTTGCTGAGTGGAGAGGAGGTAGGAGAAGACACTCAGAGAAAATAAAACAATAAAAGCTCAGATAAAGAAAAGGACAGAGGGGAGAAAATGGACCCTAAAAGTGCTGCTAACAGTTCTGGAGCATGGCATGAGGGGTGTGCCATTCACCAGTCCATTGAAAGGAGGGCTCCATCCATAAACTGCTAGAAGCCATTGTTCACAGGTGTCAGCCTTCTGCAGAGGCAGCAGCCATTTCAGCAGAGATGATGCAGAATGTAACAGAGGAAACATACACTCTGCTCTCCTATGGGGCTTGATTAAAAGCACAAGGGAGTCGACAAGAGTGGAGATTTCACTTTGGTTCTTTCTTGTTTAGTTGTTCCCCTGCATCTAAAATACAAGTCTATGGAAAAACACAACATGCCCTACATCAGAGTCATCTTCTTTAAACATTTTCTATTGGCTTTGCACTGACATTGACTTTAATCCTTTTCTCCTATCCATGACCCTCATTACAACAGCATGCAACCTGTTAACATTCACAGGAAGTTGATTTCTTTTGGAGGAGATTAAGGCAGGAGATAAGCAGAAAAGCTACCAGACCTCTGCAGCTGGGATTGCCCATCACAAATCGCACAAAGGTTGCTTCCAAAAGAAACTTTCATTTGGAGAAACACTGGCACAGTCCAAGTCCCAGAATGCGGTTCAACAGACCTTTAAGGGGCTTTGAAAGTTAGGTGTCTCTTTAGCTGTCTTGTTTATAAATCTCTATCTTTAAATACATACCAAAAAGTGTATATGAAAAAACATTACATTTGCCTCTCTTCTTATGCCATCAGTCATGATGGATTTAGCACTGAAAGGAGAGATTTGACAGGCAAAATATTTTGGTCAGTATAATTCTTCATGTGACACGTCCTCGTAACCAAATGCGGTTCCCACACAGTGGCACCTTGCCTCAGAACTTGGACAAACATTGTGTTTGTCTTCATAACTAAACTAGCTCCTGGGGAGGAAAACAAAGAAGGGAACTGAGGGCCTGGTCACAGAACACCACTTTAGATCAGTGCACTTTACACATCTTATGTCAGTTGGCCATAGACCCTGCATTGCTTCTGCCTTAAGTCTCCTAAAATACTGAGTTCTGGCTATGGCATTTTTCATTGCCCACAAAAGTTTTATTATTATCAAGATATTTTATCTTTATAGGCCAGAGGAATATTTTAGACATCTAACAGCAGGGGATGATTGCACAACTATACCGTCAGCCACCTAAGTGAAAAGTCTGGTTCCAGCAGTTGTGAGAACAAACAACATGCCAGTGGGCTTGAAACTGGTAGAAAATGTATACCCTTGGCATGAATCTCTTTCAGTTAGATGATTTCCATGTCATAACAAACCATGTGAAAAGGGTTGTTCAGGGTCACATTCATAAATGGTATAGCAAAGGCAACTATGAAAAATAAAAGGTTTTGTTCTTTGTATTCCAAGCACTGAACACTTTGGGACTGATTCTCAGTTACTGTACGACTCTGTTACATGCTAAAAAGCCTTCTGCACCACTCATAATTGGAATTATGCACTGGGCACAGTGGTATACCTTCAGTGTATTTTTCAAGTAGAAAATATAAGCAAATCCAGTGAAGTGGCTATTGAAGAGGTCTTATTTGCTCAGTTGTGTTGCCTTATCCTTAGTACTGGTGATGAGAAAATATTTTTCTTTAAATGAGAAGATAGACAAATTGAGACTGGAAATAAGGTGCCAATTTTTAACTGTGAGGTTAATTTAGCATACACCATGTGGCAGAGTCTATCAGGACTTATCTGTCCCCTGCCGGAGGTCCACACGCTCCACATCCAAGGAATATCCATTCAAACAAGGTAACCAACAAGACAGTCCTCCAGAGGCCTAGAAGGGCCAGGAGGAAATACTGACCAACCGGAAACCAACAGGCCACTTAAGAATGCTTGGATCATTTTGCTCAGGGACAGAGCTGGGTGAGACTGGGACAGAGGAGGAGCTCCTCAGGACAAACCAGAACCCAGGCCAGGACCTTGCTTAAGTGCTGCACCTAAGCGTTTGCATTTTGAAAAGTTTTTTCCCCTTGCAGTTTGTTTAAAGGGGCAGATGGCTGAAGCCTGAGTTGCTAATTTGCTATTTGATTGATTAAAGACTAATGCCACGCTCTCAGCAGCGGCTACTCAGCCCCAAAGTAGGTGGCCAAACTTGGCAGAGAAAAGTGGGGAGTAGCTGCAGTACCATGTGCAAGCATTGCAGAGCAGCCTTGCCCGCTACAGACCATTTACCATCACTGGCAATTTTTAAATTAAGATTACATGTTTTTCTAAAAGACATGCTATAAGTCAATGAAGAATTAATTCAGGGGACTCCTATGGCTTGTGTTTTACAGGAGGCCCGACTAGATGATCACACTGGTTCCTTCTGGCCTTATAATATATGAAAACAACTAACAGATGTCCCCTGCCCTGCTCACCTTTCCTACTGCACCTCAGTCACAGGTAGAGGGGAATATTTTTGTGAGAGGTGGCGCACCTTTGTTGAAATACTGGTAAACCCATCACAGAAAATTACTTGCAGTATTATCAAGAGCAGTTTTCAAGGGCAGGAAGCAGTTTTCACATTGAGAGAGTTTTTGACTTTCCATCCTGTTTCAAGACTGATTGTTGTCCCCATTGGCAAACATGATGGAAAGTTGCAATCTCAAAAATGTTTGTGAACCAATAACCCCAAAGCCTTTCAGATTGGCTCTATCGAAACATTTTGCTTCGATAATTCTGAAAAGTTTTGCTTTGATTTCAACCTTTTAAAATTATTTTCTAATTGCTAAACTTTCTAAGCAACAAGTCATTTCAAAATACAAAACAAAAACACTCTTTTCATCTAGCAAATGTCAAAATGTGACATTTCTATACATTTCCCCCCCCCCCCCCCGCAGAAAATTGTTGAATCAGGAGATTCATCAAAATCAACCATTTCACACAAAAAGTTTTGTTTGTGATTTTGACAAACTGACATTTTCTGGTGAAAAAACATTTTGTTGGAAAATTCCCTACCATATCTAACCAAGAGTCCCTCCTCTGACTGCTTAGCCCTGGCCAGGACATATAGAGACTCTGGATGAGATCCTGACCCTATCGAGATCAATGGAAATGTTGCCATCAACTTTAGTAGGGCCAGTATTTCATCCCTTGTGTGGCAACATTAGACAGGCCATGCTAAAATACGTCAGTCTGAGAGCTAGAGAGCCAGAAAGAACGACAGGTCCAGTGTGCTTCAGTCTCAATAAAGTATCCCCATTTTATTAATTACAACCAAGGCCAATCTCTTCTCTAGCATGAGGAACACTACCGTGCACCCACTAATTCCTCAGCTGCATAATCTTCTCCTCCAGGCATTTCAGACATTGTGCACAAGACAGGATGACAGTAATTCGATGTCTATTGGTTTGGCAGAGGAGGAGAGCTGTATTGACTCTCACTGCTGGTTTGAAGGGAGGTCAGAGGATGTGAAGTAGGCAAATACCTCTCCTCTAAATACCATTCTATTCCAGTTCACCCAGGTAGTTTGGCCTACCTCAAGCCGAAAAGTGTTATTTTCTTTGCAGAACAGGGAAATGGCTCAAAAAACATGCATCAGATTTTTACAGGTTTTGAAGCTAAGTGAATGGAATGCGTAAGCATGATTGTTTAATCACATGAGAACATAAATCTTTCCTTCTGCCACTTGATTAAACAGAGTAAAAACGGTGCCTCTCCTTAATGGAGAGAAAAATATAACCTGCTTTTGAAATGTACACTGCAAAACAAACTGCTGCCAAGCCAACCACATTCCAAATACCCGAGTAACAATGCGGCTGTTGCTTCCTCCTCGTCTTCTTGCTGATACAGCAACCAGCTGGTTCCTAAAGCCTCACTGTCATAGTAGTAGAGCTTTGTTTTTTAATGATCCATCTGGTGGGATGTTTTTTGCACATCTTGTCAGTGGAGGAGTCTGCATATGTCTGCAGATCAAGTTCTCTGCTCCTCGACTCCTAATGTTTCCAGGATGTCTGGAAAGTTTTGGTTGATGAGGAGTACAGATTAGGGTACTTTCTGGGAGCTGACTAACACTGCCTGTGAATTTCCTCAGGTGAATACTTATTTCTATTAGGGACTTCACAACACTCACAGACACACTGATCCTCTTCCTCCAACTTGTATAGCTCTATGGTAAGTCTGTGTCAGTCATACTGGTTCCACTCTATTTATGGGCTTAGTAAGTGAGCACTCCCCCACCCCCATTGG